TTTCGAGGTCAGTAATTCATGAAAAAAACAAAAACTCAACTTACCTAGTAAAACGCCGGAAAACCATAAAAGTCTGTAGCTGTTGTCCATTTTAGTCCATAGCATTTTTTCCAAATTAAACAAATTTTGTCAGACTAACGAGCAAAAAGTCTGCAATTCAGGCGGCTGAAGCCAGTAACTGTTATGCTGCCATGGAAGCCTCTCTGATGAACTGGAAGAAGAGTAAAACTGATGACGTCTACAATGACATTTTACTTTTCCGATAAGTCGCTGAATGAGCTGCAAGCAATTAAAATCAAAATTAATATGCATTTCCGCTTTTATAAAACTAATTTTTCACACTTAAAGTGAATTTAAATATATATAAAATATTTATATATTTTTTTTTTGTCTGTTTCTGCAAAATAAATTTATTATGTTTTTGCCACTTCAATTCATCGGTGCTGTCTAGTATTTCTTGTCTACATAACCTTTTTAATTAATGATTTTTTTTTTATGATAGAATGTTTGCCTTAATTAAATTTATATTAACTTATTCTAATTATAATTAAAAATATTTAAATATTTAATAGCTTAATAGTGCATAACGTGAATTCGCACTTGAGAACCTTGATAAGACTTCAGGACCATATAATTAAATATTTTAATTAATATTTTTGCCCGTTACCGCTAATTAGCGGTTATAATATTACACTTGCAGGTATGGAAATTATACTAGTGACACTATTACGTTATTTTGTAGACTTTTATAATATATGAAATAATTTTAATTATTTATGATTTGACGCTTTTAAACACCTACACCCACTTTTACATAAAATTTCCTCGACTTAGAGGTTGACGTGCTTGATTTTGTGACTCAATGTTCTTTAAATTTTTACAACCTAAACAAGCCTAAATTTTCTGTTAAAGTTATTATTTTTATTACATTAACAAGTGTAAACGATTTTATTATATATAAAATTTTATTTAAAATTCAAAAATTATGAATTGGAAGATGATTCACTGTTTAATTAAATAATCCCACATTTTCCTGAGTCTAAGAATTGTAGCACCTCATCAAATATGTCAATAGGTGTGAGTTGCATCAATTAACTTTGAATGGAGCTATTGTCTATAAATTTTGAAACAAGACAAATGACACAATAAAATTATTCTTAAAATATTTTATTAAATTTTATACAATTTTACACTTGTTTACGTTTTGTTTAGGTCTAAAGATACTCAAAAATAATTATATACATGCATCTACATTACCCACACTAAAATTTAATTTAGCTTGAAATTCTGTTGAATTACCGAAGATATTCAATAAAACAGCTTAGAGTCGTTAAATATACTTTTGTAGTAAAACTGTGAGGTCACAATTGAGAAACTTTTTAAGAATTTCTCAACAAACGTGTATCAAGCTGATACACGTGTCTTGAAAGAATGACTAACCTTACTATCTCCTGTTAACTTACGGTTGGATAGAGGTAAACGAATTTCAATTGAAATAAGCATAATAATGTGAATCTGGGTAGACCCACTTTGTATGTTAGCACCTAAAACATTCTAGATACCGTCTAGAAACCGACAACACCCTCATCAATTTTGCTGCAAATAGTGTTAAAGCACCTTTGATCCGGATATTGCTCAGTTAACGGTCTAAAGATCCCATCATATGTGAATAAAATGCTAAACTGAAAATGTGCGAAAACTTCAAATATTTTAAATTTGCTGTCTTAATTAAGTATAAAGTTCTCGTTTCTTAAACTAATTACGATACTTAATCATAATTTATTGTATTGTAATTTGAAATTAAATCACTATTTCGATTATCAAACGGTTTTTATTTTTTAAATAGTAACAGTATTTATACTCAGAGACAACTGTTGCCCATATTTCAAAGTTTCCAAAAAGACATCAAATACATCAAAAATGTATTATGTATTGAACCATGTGTTATTTTTGACGTCTACCTACGTTAAGGCATTTTATCAATAAAACTGTTTCTCATTAATATACTAATAACTACACAAACTGTATGTTTTCTACAACCTAAAAGACTCTTCGTCTTTTTCATGTAATCAAGACTATATAACCCTAGCGATCTTCAGTACATATGATTTGCCCATTAGCTAATCGGCCGTAAATACATCGGAGTAAATACTGAACTATCATTTCCATTTAGATTCCCTTTGTCCAGGAAATATTGGTTTCGTCTCCTTTATTCTCAATTTCAAAAGAAAATTTACTGTCAACTTTTATTTTAGAGATTCCTGCATGACTGAAAGTCATTACTAAAGCTGAGTCTAACCATTGGTAACTTAGAGTTAGAGAACAGGGTAGGTAGTCAAAATAGCTTTGTAAAACTAAATGCACAGTTTACTGATTATTACCGTGTCATTCAAAAAGATCATATACTTATTTGAGATACTATCATCTGTATTTGTTTGGGTAATAGATATATTGAACTGGAACTCATTAATACTGTCAAACATTCAGGATCTTTCAGAATCCTGTACTTGATCTCATATAATAACAAAACTCTGAACTTGATTTTAACGGAGTTCATCATTCATCTACTCTGAATTCCCTTTTATAAGAATATCGCCAGCAGTTGCAAAGAGAATGAGCTAACCTGAGCTAACCAGTTAAGTGGGATCATCAACATATTTGAAAGACCCTGCGCACACTACAAACATCATGTAAACAATTGCTTACGTCTTCTAATAAAGGACTAAAAATACAAATTCTCTTCTTGAAGACTTTCTTCAAATAACCACATGTAATATAAAGCTTTATATTTCTTGATAGTTGAGGAATAATCAAAATCTGCATGAATCTAAAAGTTAAATATATGTGTTACAGATCCTGAAATATTCCCCAACAGAGCATAATAAGTCTAGAGGATTTCGGTTAGATTAGGTTGAAGTTTAATATGTGACACCAATGACATTTGGATTTAACTCAACAATAAAATAATTTAAGCGCAATCATCGATGGCAATACTGACTGGGCCTAATTGCTTTTTTGCAGCGCATAGTTCTGTTAAATTTTTGATTATGTCAGTATACAGAATAAATACTACTCTAACAATGGCAGTCTGTGGTTCATAATAATACTTTGCGTGCAAGTAGTTTGACTAATATATAGTATTTTATATATGTTGGCATGGTTATTGTACAATATTCTTTCAAATTCATTAACAACGGACCACAAGGACAAGGGTAGCCATATAAAACGCGTGTTACTCATCAGAATTTCATGTCAAACTTTTTTATGAAATGCGAAATTTATGCCAAATTCGATGTATAATACGAACATTTAAAATTTGACAAAAAGTTTTGAAGGAAATTAAACAATTTTGATTTTTCTTTACACTTGCTAGTGTTTTTCTACATATAATCGGATTTTTGTGGACTTACATGCAAAATTTTATTCATTTTAAAGGATGGAACCAAAAACATCGTTCAAATGCATGCATGATTTTATTTTATAGTATATTTGTTTTTGTTATTTTTTTTTCTAGACCGTGTTCAAAATAATGTCGACTGTTTAGATATGTAATAGCAAGAGACGACAAAAAAGTTTGACAAAAAAGTTTGACAAAAAAATATGACAAAAAAGTTTGACAAAAAATTCTTATGTCTAATACGCACTCAAAGAAAAATAGGCAAATAAAAGTGCCGCAAGGCTTGAATACTTCTGTAGAAATTCTATGTGTAAATATTTTCGTAATGTTAATGTAAATTTTTATAACAGCTTTCATAAAATTCAATGACTTTAGTATGTGAATTACAAACTCTTCAAAAACATGAATTGTGGTATTTTACCGCTCGATTAAAATAAATGTTCATAAAATTAAATATTAAAATATAGAATTTAATTATTAATTTATATTTAATTAATTTTATTTAATTTATTATTATTAAAAATAATATTTATGTTCTGAATTCTTGCTTCTGATTTGCACATTTTTTCATATCAACTTTTCAATTAAAATTCTTAAGCTTTTAGGTATGCAAATAGTTATGATTTTATCTATGTAAAACATATAAAAATAGATTAATAAATATTTCAAATATTCATGAAGGTTTTTGAGCAGGTTTTCACATTTTTTAACTGAATAAACTCTTGTCTTTAACATATTAACACGATATGACAATGTCACCTGATTAACACATGTCACTTAAGCTTCTAGATGACAATTGATTTGTCAAAATAAAATATAAAATACAATTATATATGGTTTTTATATATAAAAGAAAAAAAATTAAAAAATATTCGTATTTTTACACACTTTTTAATTATATTTTATTTCATTGTGAGAACACCTTCGGATATGAATGAACACTACTACTGTATTTAAGCTGAGCTTCATTGGCACAAGTGTTATAAAAATACTTTCAAAAATAAACAAAATTAATTTTATTTAAAAATAAATACACAAAACGAATAAAAGATTGTAATTAATCAAAATTTAATGACAGCTCGACTCAGTATATTTTTCTTTCTAATTATTTCACGCATAAATCAAACAAAACTCCAACCACTTGATGTATCTATAAATCGATATTATTTGTTAAGTGGGTAAACACAAACCGCATAGGATCAACCAAATAAAAATAGATCGAATTACAATTAAAAAAGTGCCATTAATGCGTAACAAAAGAGTAACAAATCGGCCAAAGGCAACACTTGTACACTTGAGAAGTCCATAAATTAGTTTATTACCGACAACAGATACGTTGGCTATTGGCTATTGGCAGTTTTGCTAAATTTTACGCTCAATTACTCCAATTGTTCACTTGAGGTTTAATTAAAAAGGTCACAAGTTGGCAGCGGTAGCGGTTCGCTGCGTATACGTAACACGAATGAGTTTCCATGCAAAAACTCATTAAGAAAAAATTATTTAAAAAGTATCTAAAAATCACTTGAGCAAATAAATAATGCAGAAATTGTGTAACCTTAAGACTGAAGCTTGAGGCCTATGGCAGGCTGAGAATAGCGCCGCACAACAACCTTCAGCAGCTGCCAGTTGCAATTAATTGAAGTGTCACTATTGTGCGGGTAAATGGAATGTGTCATTTGATACGATCAGACGATGTCAGGGCTGACACTGGCACCAAAACAAATCGAAAGGGATTTTGGGTCTCATAATTTGACTTGCAAGCAAATAGGCATTTAGCCTGCAGCTACTTTCAGTCAGTGCAGCAGCAATGACAACTCAAACGACCAGCGGCTCAGCGGCTAAGCGGTTCAGCGGCTTAGCGGCCTGTCTTCGGTTTACTGAT